GTGCGTGCTTTCTGATGTGTGTGTGTGTGTGTGTGTGTGTGTGTGTGTGTGTGTGTGTGTGTGTGTGTGTGTGTGTGTGCGTGTGCGCGAGGAAGGGTATGATGTGGCTCTTTGCAGTAACTCAGTAAAAAAATTGGCTCTTCATCTCAGACTGGTTGGCCACCCCTGCCTTAGTTCATGCTACACGCGGCTTGGTAATGAAGTGCTGCACCCACCAGCGAAAATGCTATTGTGACACTAATTTGCAGGTATACTTCCATTATGCTTGACATGGAGGAGATTGTCTCAAAAGATGTTTCGGGTGAATAGGAGTAATCTGGAGTCGAGTAGGTTCCTGCGCGCTGAAATCCGTAACAGCACAGCTCAAGTGGGTAGATTGATGTAGGATGGAACACATATGGGAATCGCTGTGTTAATTGTTGTGGGAAGGGGGTGGGGGGGGGCGGTATTTATTATCCTCAACTACTTAATGGCTGGTAGCCCATCAAGATGTTTTGCGGACGTGTCAGGGAAGTCAATAATCCAGACTCAAGAGTGATTGTAAGCAGACACTAACGCATATGAAGCAGAATGATTTGCTGTTGACTTCAAATCCCAGCGCACCCCAAGAGAAGCGTCGTGTTCGCCGCACGGTAATTTTTTTTTTTTTACAGGGCGACCCTTAAACAACGACAACGCACTGTGGCTTGCTTACAATTCATTCAAGGCCGAGATACTTTTCCGTCTCACCTGATGGCTGCTTCTGCGAGCTGGTTAGAGTTCATTTCATAAATGGAAGCTGTACGTTGGTTCGTTTATTTTAAAAAAAAAATTCATCTATTTTCATTTTTATTTGATTTCATGGACAAAGAACGTTTTTTTCCATTTTTTTTTTTTTTTTTAGTTCAAATGCACGTTTCTCGGAGAGGCGATAAACAGCTTGACCAATTACATCTGCTAACCTGCTGCTGGTTGTGAAGTGACTTGTTTACTCCCACCATACCATTAAAAAAATAAATCATAAAAAAAAAAACGTACACCATGTGCACATTTTTATTGGTCGTAAAAAGCATCATATTGAAAAAGTAACGGTACCAATGTCTGCAGATCTGAAAACGGTATTCAGTAGCATTTCACTGTGTCATTGATCTGGCAGATATATTTGAACATCAATTTTTTTTTTCCGCAACTCCTGCACTTCCCAACATTTCGCTTCGCACAAGTCCATCTAGGTCTCTTGAGTATATAAATATAATACTTCCCTGACTCATCACAGACCGTTTCAACTCGACTATCCAACGTCTCAGGCACTTCCATTGTGGATCCACTCCGTGTTTTGCATCCGGCCGGCTCTGGCTCAGCATGCAACAGCCAGCTTGTTATCAATAATTCAGAATTGAAGGAAGGTAGTTGAAAACATATGAAAGGTGAACATAGAAAGTGTTCCAGTACGTGGCTGTCACATTTCCAATCCAATTAGCCTCGAACGATTTGCGTGGAAGGCTGCATTTGTTTCCAAGTGAGCATCACCAAGTGGAGATTTGTGCTTGGCATTCGGGCGCACACGCCGTGCACTGACTCCTCTTCGTTCTTAATTACTTTCCTGTTTATATTGAAGTTTCCGCAGGAGACGTATGAATAATGAATGGTCTTACCTTAATAGAGATTCCAAGCTGCCACACAGAGATGTCAATACTGACTCAATGAAGTGCGAGTCCCGAGGGTGCATAGAGCAGCCAAAAACTGTCGTCAAATAAAAGGAGTGGAACTTTCGGTTAATTTTAGTCAAGTTACCAAAAAAAAAAGGCTGTGGTTGAATTGCTGAGATATTGTAAGCTGAAATGCAGGCGGAGGGGCGACACAGATGACAGCGCATGCATGTTGTTTGTTGTCATCTGGGACTTCGACATTCCACTTCATATTTAATTTGTCACATCATCCCAGGAGGCTGAGCTTCCTTGAAGCGTTTTTTTCCCATCTGATGCCTCTTCGAACACTTTTGAGACTTGAAGGATGATAATCCGGGCTACTATGCGGGCGTCTTAATTATGCTCCCACCTAACATTTCCGTGGGGACGTCTTCAAACGTTTGAATTCCCCTTGAATATTTTTTATCTCCTTTTAGACTCGATTTAGAACAACTCTGCCTGGGAGCGTGTTGAATTCGGCCTGAAAAGGAGCACGCCCCGCCCCCCTCGTTAGCTCTTTATGAAGCTTTAGCATAGACTGTACGTTCTTTGCTCGTCGAATAAAACTAAAAAACCAAAATAAATAAAATTATGACCGCTGTGTTTTTGTTATGATTCTGAAACTGACGAAAGCTTGTTTTCAACGTCATTTTTGTCCTCTGCGTCTTTCACACTTGAAAGTTGAGGGGTTTGTTGTTTTGAGTGGAAAGCTCTATCTACTTTACGAACGGCAAAAGGAGAGATGGAATCCTTTAAATACAGTTTTATTAAGAGGGAGAAAAAAGACGTCGGAGAGATGGAATCCTTTAAATGCAGTTTTATTAAAAGGGAGAAAAAAAACGTCGGTAGCGCAGCACGTTCGAGAACACAACTTCTTCCGGTAACGAAACACACTTCCTGCTTCTCTTCAGCCAATCAGACGCAAGCAACATAAGAACGTTTCAACAATTATCAAACAGAATATAGTTTAGGTAACTATAAAATAAAGTAATATAATGCTCAAATATAAAATGAGAATAATCAATAATATAACATAAGCTTACACACGTTCTACAAAAGATCCCGTGTGCGTTGCCGGTGTAGCATATGGCCGTATACCATACTGCTCGCTTCACGGTGTTACGGCAGTGTCGCAAAGCAGTGGTTGAGTGACTGCACACAACTGTTACGGCAGTTGAATAAAGAGCGTTGACAAAGCAAATCGTCTCCTCACGTTTTTAGACAAAACACCCGGAAACGCACCAGAAAATAAACTAATAAATAAGTCTTCCTCCACGAGAGGCAGACACAGCTCTTCACGCTTTCGACTCGGCTTCATTCTCACGGAGCGCCCCTCCGGGAGCGGGGGGAGGTTACATCTTGTGCTCTTCACACCTCTCTAAACTTGACAACATGAGGAAGCATGAAATATTGAACAGATGCACAGCCGTGTTCGGGCGGTCAGCTAAGCGGATGAACGCGAAGAAGGGGACAAGTGTGAATGAAAGCAAAAAGTAACAAAACGCAGGCGGGCTGCTGTTATGAAGGTGGATTTGGCGAGGTGACACAAACCTGTCAAATTTCTTTCGAGTCAGATGCGTCAATTGGAAGCAGAGCAACGAGGGAGTGCGGTGGCGTCTCTGGCATGAAAAGTTGAGCGGGTCACCACAGTGGGCGCTTTACATTTTTAAAATCAAGACCGCAATCTATTTTATGCATAGCCAAATTAAAGGTATGAATAAAACCTTTAATTCAATTTCTGTCATGCCGTTGTGTTTCTCGTAAAATGTCTTGATCCTCTTCAGTGATGAAAAGTTGCTCTCAGACCGAGCTGTGGTCATGGGTGTTGCAATCATAATTTGGAGTGGTGACACAGTTAGGTTAGTTGTCATAAATCAGCCGCAGCAGAGACAGCGGTGACACAGGTTAGTTGTCATAAATCAGCCGCAGCAGAGACAGAGCGTTTGCCAACATGCAACTCTTGAGTGACTGGACAGGCATTTGAGCACAATTTTGAGCTTAATTTTATTTCCAATTGGCCAGATTTGATTTGCTGCTTCTAATTCAGCACATGGATTTACTGAATTTACTGGAAAGTGTGCTGTCTGCAAACTGTGCTGCAAAATCTCTCTTCCAATTGAGTCACTACGGCATCATCAGCTTCTTTCATAACCGCTGGATACATGCTAAAGAAACAGCTGGCTCAGAAAGAACCGAATTTGGATCATAAATGGACTGATCCACAATTTGGGCGAATTGGAATCAACTTTCTGCATTATTTTTGTTGTTTTTTTTTAAAATCCTAACTGTTTTTCTGAATCAAAGCAATTTTTGTTACACAACGAGCAGGAACAATATTTGGCAAGTGGATGTTCAATATGGACCCCAAATTGAGTGTGTTCAAAGACATAATGAGGTTGATTGATGATACACCCGCTAAAATTGAGTTAAAGTAATGGAAAGTCGAAAAAGAAAATTGGTCGAGACAGGAAAAACCACACACACACACACACACACACACACACACACACACACACACACACACGTTTCTTCATTTTGTGGCCCTTCCTACACACCATCTTTCACAATTTCCTTTTGTCTCCCGCTTCCTGGGCCGGCCACACGTTTACCTCGCCGCATCCCATGAGCCAAAGTGACAGGTGTCATAAGGGGCTCCGCTGATACTGGCTAAGGAAGCTGACCGCGGAAAACCAGTCAGCTTGCGTTGCGCTCACGGTGACAGCTGGAAACAGCAGCAGAAAAGGAGGGTCAGTGCCTCTGCCAAGGAGGTTACGCTCTGCCTTTGATGTACAGTATGCGCAACTCACTGCCGACAGTGTTGGATCGAGCAAACTGGAGAGTTGATGACACTGCTTCCCAACCAAGATTGAGCCAAGGCACATTGGGAAAAAAAAAATCTCATGGCAAAGAACCAAAATTGTAAACCCCCCAGCGAACCCGAACTAGGAATAACAACAACATAAACAAATGATTGACCTTGAAAATGTTCATACTTGCTCACATCAAAAGTTTAAACCACAGGTGTCAAAGTCAAGGCCCGGGGGAAAAAAAATCTCATGGCAAAGAACTGAAATTGTAAACCCCCCAGCGACCCGAACTAGGAATAACAACAACATAAACTAATGATTGACCTTGAAAATGTTCATACTTGCTCATTTTAGTTCAAACCACAGGTGTCAAAGTCAAGGCCCGGGGGCCAGATGCGGCCCACCGTGTAATTTTATGTGGCCCGCGGGAGCAAATCATGTGTGTCAACTATCACGTTTCTTGCTGATATCTGTACCAAAATGTGAAATTGTCAATGGTAATAAATAACGTTGAGATTTTGCACCGGCCCTCCGAGGGAAGCTGTAACTCTGAAGTGGCCCGCGACAAAAAATGAGTTTGACACCCCTGGTTTAAACTGTCACTATACCATCAACTGTGATCCTGTAAAGCAGGGGTGTAAACTCATTTGGCCAATTCGGAGTTACGTCTTCCCTTGGAGGGCCGTTATGATAGTGAAACCGCAAAATTGACTTTTGAAATCAGTCGAGCCATTTATAACAGTTTGTTCAATTATTGTTCGAGTGAGTGGAAACTGTGTCAGAAAATTATTGCAAAATCACATTATTTATTACACATGACAATTTAACATTTCAGGACACATTTTAGCAAGTTGACACACATGATTTGCTTTCGCGGACCACATAAAATGACCTGGCGGGCCACATCTGGCCCCCGGACCTTGGGTGTGACACCTGTGCTGTAAAGGGAATTTAGAAATGATTTTCTAAATACATGCGTGATGAGAATTGCCAGAAACGGGTGGAAACACTGAGAATCAGACACGAATTGTGATGATGTGGCGTATTCATCATGTGCCTCGTTGGCAACTGAGCAGCGCGTGGTTTGAGCATGTGGAGTGAACGGCTCGATTTTTCACCATTCTCGAGCCTCGTTTGATGTACTGATGTGTCTTTTTTATAATTGACACAATATCAGCCTAAAAAAAAAACAATGTGTGACAGATGATTTGATTTCGGAAAAATGTGTACTTTAGCAGAAAAACACTAATAGGTGCTGTTATCAATGAATATCTGAGGATAGTTCACACACGAAAACCCCCCACAAAAATGTGAATTTGCATATAGCAAACCGCGAATAGGCAGGGGTTGACTTAATACAGGTAACTCATTGTAAATAATGATGAATAAATGGATTTGTTGTACTTCTGCCACCTAGTGGAAGAGCATTTATTTGTTCTGCTTGTCACGATACATCACCGGCATAGATAGTTGAACATTTGCATTTTATTTATTTTTATTTTTTTTGCAGTGAGCAAATCATTTTCTGACCAATTCACGCAAATTGGATTATCTGCCACAACCCACTAATTTTCCGCAGCATGGATGGTTGGGAAACAGTTTTTATTTTATTTTCCATTTCATGCACCGATAATGATAACTTGTAACCCGAAAACATGAAAAGCTGTCCACTGCCGTAACCGCAGCCCCTGAAAGGGTTAAAAATAAAATAAGAGAAATGAACGCGTGACCAACGATTGAACGGAGCAGTCTCGGTTCTGAGTAAAGGGGAGAAAAAGCCGCCCCTTTGTGGAGGATAAATAACAGGCAATCCTTTCACAGAGTCAAGCAATTCCACAAGTGACACCCGAACAATGCCGCAAAGCCACTCGCTCTCCGGCAGGATTTCGAAACCAAATCACACAGTCGGAAGGAAATGACAATGACAGATGTGCAGTTCAGTGCTGCTTTGAGGATGTCAGGGGACGTATCATCGACTCGATTTCCAGTTCCAGTTCCAGCTGTTTTAAGATGGATGGCAGCACAAAACAGAAGGCCTAACTGCCACAAAGCACCGAAGCGCTATTATTATTATGATTCCTCCTGACGTACAATAATGAGTCAAATGAAACATTTCATTTACACCGACTTCATCTTTTATTTGTCATTAGGTTGAGTCCCGACTAAATCTCTCGTAAACATGCTGTGCTCTGTGCCATTCGAGTCCAGAGTCAGTGTGGCATTTTAAAAATCTCATTCGCAGCATAAATCACACACGATCTGCATAGACTTGCTCATAAACTCATAGATGGGTGTAAAAAACATGCGAGATCAACAAACGGTGTCATTTCACTTCTCTATTCTGGCTCAGATAGCTCGAAAATTAAAAAGTGGTTGAGTTGCGGTATTTGCATAAATATGATATATGTGCGACGGTAGCTCAATGTCATACAGTAAACATTGTAAAAATAGTTCCACCCATGTTGTCCATTACAGAGTGGAATTTAAACGAGCAAGTCAATATTTCGAAAATAATTGTCGCAAGAGGCGTCTGAAAACTCAATACTTGTGACAAAATCGTTACTTTTGAAAGCTAGCTTTTCCCTGTTTTGCAAACATGTAGCACCGGAAAACAAACATTGTCCTGACAATTAAATTTGAATCAATCACTAAATTTTTTTTGTTTTGCCATGTCCTGTTACCAATTCATGTAAACAGCATGTAACATAAGCAACGTAATAGCTAATGACTCGCGCGAAAATGAACAGAGAAGCTAGCTAACATGGCCGTAGGTTCCTCACAGTGAGTTTGATCAATTGAAATTTAACAAGTGGGGAGTCAGCGCATTAGTCACCTCATTATCATGCTAATCCCACCATTTAGAGAGAGACCGTACGCCCTGGAAGGAAGCATGCTAATGTCGTCTGTCTGCGACTTCATAAGCATGTCACTCAACTTTGCCACATGAATAATATTAACGGAAGAGTCGCCACTGTCCCGGTTTGAATTTACGTCTGACTTGAACGATAAATGAGATTAATTTGTCTCTTCACGTTAGTTTTCTTTGAGCAGGGTATACAGCTATTGTTAGCTAGCAGATCAATTTATTATTTATCACAGGAAGTAAATGTCTGGCTATGACTAGAAGAGTATCAACTGGGTGCGTTGAGTGTGTCTAAAACGTCACTCACCAGTCACTCAACACAACAAACATTCCGAACCGCAACATCGTGAACAGATGAGCTAACAGTTAGCCTACGCCCTTGAACAGCATTTCTTCATCTGCTACGACATTCTTCTTTATTTTTTCGAGCAGTCTGGATTCACTGGAGCGCCATACTGCCTCCAACAGGTTTCATCAAAGTCAAAATAGTTTGGACTGATCAAGGAAATGATCTTTTTCAAAATGTGGCTTTAGAGCAGGTTAAGGAAATGACAATGACAGATGTGCAGTTCAGTGCTGCTTTGAGGATGTCAGGGGACGTATCATCGACTCGATTTCCAGTTCCAGTTCCAGCTGTTTTAAGATGGATGGCAGCACAAAACAGAAGGCCTAACTGCCACAAAGCACCGACGCGCTATTATTGTTATGATTCCTCCCGACGTACAATAATGAGTCAAATGAAACATTTCATTTACACCGACTTCATCTTTTATTTGTCATTAGGTTGAGTCCCGACTAAATCTCTCGTAAACATGCTGTGCTCTGTGCCATTCGAGTCCAGAGTCAGTGTGGCATTTTAAAAATCTCATTCGCAGCATAAATCACACACGATCTGCATAGACTTGCTCATAAACTCATAGATGGGTGTAAAAAACACGCGAGATCAACAAACGGTGTCATTTCACTTCTTTATTCTGGTTCGGATAGCTCAAAAATTAAAAAGTGGTTGAGTTGCAGTATTAGCATAAATATGATATATGTGCGACGGTAGCTCAATGTCATACAGTAAACATTGTAAAAATAGTTCCACCCATGTTGTCCATTACAGAGTGGAATTTAAACGAGCAAGTCAATATTTCGAAAATAATTGTCGCAAGAGGCGTCTGAAAACTCAATACTTGTGACAAAATCGTTACTTTTGAAAGCTAGCTTTTCCCTGTTTTGCAAACATGTAGCACCGGAAAACAAACATTGTCCTGACAATTAAATTTGAATCAATCACTAAATTTTTTTTTATTGCCATGTCCTGTTACCAATTCATGTAAACAGCATGTAACATAAGCAACGTAATAGCTAATGACTCGCGCGAAAATGAACAGAGAAGCTAGCTAACATGGCCGTAGGTTCCTCACAGTGAGTTTGATCAATTGAAATTTAACAAGTGGGGAGTCAGCGCATTAGTCACCTCATTATCATGCTAATCCCACCATTTAGAGAGAGACCGTACGCCCTGGAAGGAAGCATGCTAATGTCGTCTGTCTGCGACTTCATAAGCATGTCACTCAACTTTGCCACATGAATAATATTAACGGAAGAGTCGCCACTGTCCCGGTTTGAATTTACGTCTGACTTGAACGATAAATGAGATTAATTTGTCTCTTCACGTTAGTTTTCTTTGAGCAGGGTATACAGCTATTGTTAGCTAGCAGATCAATTTATTATTTATCACAGGAAGTAAATGTCTGGCTATGACTAGAAGAGTATCAACTGGGTGCGTTGAGTGTGTCTAAAACGTCACTCACCAGTCACTCAACACAACAAACATTCCGAACCGCAACATCGTGAACAGATGAGCTAACAGTTAGCCTACGCCCTTGAACAGCATTTCTTCATCTGCTACGACATTCTTCTTTATTTTTTCGAGCAGTCTGGATTCACTGGAGCGCCATACTGCCTCCAACAGGTTTCATCAAAGTCAAAATAGTTTGGACTGATCAAGGAGATGATCGTTTTCAAAATGTGGCTTTAGAGCAGGTTTGTTGGTTTTCATTAGTTTTGATTTTGGGGGAAATGCTTCATTTTAGTTTTCATTTTATCTGTTTTAGAATTACATTTAGTTTTTTTTCCATACATGTCAGATTTGTGGAGTGCAAAATTAAAAATGATTCTGTAATGAAGTAAACTACATTTGCCACACAACTCTTTGATCTTTTTACAGTAATACCAGAATAAAGACATTGCACCCAAAAGCTCATTTAGAAAATTAATCGATTAAGATGAAAACGAAGGACATTTTAACGACAACTGTGGTTAGTGTTACAAACATAAAATGTTGTTTCAGTTAGTTATAGATTTTTAAATAGCACTCCCGCGCTCCCATTTTCATTTAATTTCTTGGATGAATTTTTTTTTTCCATTTTAGTTTGTTATTTCTTACCTATTACCTTGGGACTGACACAAGAGCAGTGAAATCCATTTTGCCCCACGACGCAAAATAATCCATGACCGATCCCGCGCAATCCACATCATTCTTTATGATCCACTGATGTCAGTGACAGTAACTTTTAAGAGTACGGTACTCAACGGGACTAACTCAAAAAGAGATCAATTGCGATAACTGACGGCCTTACCTCTAAAAGATGCCGTGACACGGTCCCATAATCCACCGCCTCTGCCCTTCACACACTAGCTGCATCGGAGGCTTGAGTGACAGGAGAGAAGAGGCCTTGAGAATCCAACAACCAAACCCAAACACTCACTCACTCACTCACACACATGAAGCCGCAACTGCACAGCAACAACGAAAACACAAAAAAAAGTCACCCTCATCCCTCACCTTCTCTGTCCTTCCGCCTCCTCATTTGTAATCTATCCGGAAGCAGCCGTTGTTCTCCAATGTCCGGAGGGGGCGCCTCCAACGGCGGGCCACAAATACAGCGTGAAAGTCACATCGCCTTGGCAGCCAGGCGGTAAATACACTGAGAAGAGTATACGCAGAGCTTGTTAGTCATGCTTCCTAATTAAGGTCGTGAAGAGAGAGAGAGAGAGAGAGAGAGAGGGCGGCCCGGTGTCCAGTGGTTAGCGCGTCAACCTCACAGTGCAGAGCTACCGGGTTCAATTCCAGCTCCGGCCTACCTGGGCGGAGTTTGCATGTTCTCCCCTGGCCTGCGTGGGTTTTCTCCGGGTACTCAGGTTTCCTCCCACATTCCAAAAACATGCATGGCAGGCTGATTGAACACTAGTCTAAATTGTCCCTAGGTGTGAGTGTGAGCGTGGATGGTTGTTTGTCTGTGTGTGCCCTGCGATTGGCTGGCAACCGGTTCAGGGTGTCCCCCCGCCTACTGACCGAAGATGGCTGGGAGAGGCTCCCTTTTATATGGTGACCCTTGTCACCATATAAAATGAGTTGCAGGCAGTATATATTTTTTGGACCTCATATCAATTAGTTCTGTCTTTGTCTCATCAGACCAGAGAATTTTCTTTTTAGTGCTCTGACAGTCCTTCAGGTGCATTTTGGCAAATTTCAAGTGGGCTGCCATATGCCTTTTACAAAAGGAGTGGTTTCCGTCTGGCCGCGAAATCATTCAGGCCTGATTGGTGGGGTCCTGTTGAGATGGTTGTAGCTTCTGGAAGGTTCTCCTCTCCCCACAGAGGATTGCTGAAGTTGTGACAGAGTGACCATCAACTTCTCTGACAACACCTGACGGACGGCCAGTTCTTGGAAGAGCCCTGCTGGTTCGGAACGTCCTCCGTTTACGGATGATGGAGGCCACTGTGCTCATTGGAATCTTTGAAGCAGCAGAGGTTTTTGCTCTACACTTCACACCAGATTGATGCATTGAGACAATCCTTTCTCAGTCTCAATCCTCTCCAATGAAGGTAGAAGAACCTTTCAAGGATGATCACTTGGAAAGATGATGCATCTGAGCTCAATTTTGAGTTTCGCGGCAAATGGCTGTGAATACATGGGATTTGAAAAGTGTTTTTTTTTTTTTTTTAATTTGTCTTATGGAATGTTTAAATTTCTATTCATTGAGAAAACGTGATTTTCAAAAGCACAGGGCAACGTGCAGTGACAGGTGAGGGAAGTGTTCCTTCTCGGGGCGGCGCCCACGGACACTTTTCTCCTCTGAAGCAGAATAACTGCATCATATGGACAACGGCATCCATGGACGCGATGTACTTCTTTGCTATGACTCGGAATGCTTTCTTTGTCGCTCATGCGGGGTGACAGGCGGAATTTGCGTCACACTTTCGAATAGATGCTGTACTCGTTAAAGAGTTTGGCAACGTGACATGTTTCAAGGTCCATTCATTCCATCGGAGTGGGGAAAGAGCCACTCGTTGTCAGACCACAAACGGGCGCAACAGCGACACCCTGTGGCACATGCGCGCTGCATCAGAACGAGGCACTTTTCGAATTCAGGACTGTCGTCATTTTGTCGTGCGGTTTGGACAGATTTCGCATAGCGAGGGAAAAAAAGGCATGCGAAATAGTTCGGACCTCGATCAAAACTTGAGAAACATAAAAGGGACTCCATCAGAATGTAACAGCTGGGCAGGAGACGCTATTCTAATTACATGTCCGTTCTGGGCCTCTCTAATTTCCTTTCTTAAGCACTTTTTAATAGCGCCGAGCGATTATAAAAGTGAAGTATGAATAAAAGCTTCATAAACATCGCGTTTTGTGCGGTGTCCGACTGCATCACGGCGCGTGTGTAATTAACAAGCCGGTTGATTATGGGAGGAAAGAGACGATTAAAGGGAGATGACGCCATGACGTGCTTTATGGCGGGTTATTAAAAGTTAAAGTTAGCGTCTGAGGATGAAGAAAGGCGGGGGGCATTGCAACTCTCGAGGTGAAACGAGACGCTCCCAAAAAAAAAAAAAAAAAAAATCACAGTGCGCTCTGCGTTTTCTCGATTAAACAATAAAAATACTGTTTAACAATACAGTGGGGTCTTCAAATATTCTATTGAAACTGTCGTTAGTTCCTGCCAGTTCATGCGGCATTTTCTTTTCACGTTTGCCTTCAGCATGTGCAATGCGTGCTCAATCGGATTCAGGTCAGGTGATTGACTTGCCACACTCAACATATAATCTATGCATGAAAGAACAAAACAAAAACTCTGGTTGCTTTTGCGATATGCTTCGGGTCATTGTCCATCCGCACTGTGAAGCGCTGTTCGTGTCCTGAAACATTTGGCCGTATATGAGCAAGAAATAATGTCCGAAATGCTTGAGAATTCGTCCTGCTGCTTTTGTCAGCAGTTACATCACAAGGAGTGCAAATACAGGCAATATTTTGGATTACCTTGAGCGACACTACACGCGGAATAGGCGCAACCTTTCCTCATTAAGATAACACTTGATTTAAAACCCGTCATTTTCCGGAATTATGTTTTTTTTTGCCGCAAATCCCTTCAGCTTGTCCGGAAGCAATTTTGTTTCCCATTTAGTTCTGTCTTTGTCGTTCTTGTAAATTGTGTGCCGAGTTCCACCCACGGAAACATTTTTTCCCCCCCGAGCAGATTGAACAATATATTTCTTATCTGCCAGAAGTTAAAAAATTGATTGTTTCTTTCCCTTTCCAAGAATTAAGTTTTAGTTTATAAAAACAAAAAGTCAACAGCTGTTTGTTGTCCTACAAATCGAAGGCCTGTGTGTGTATGTGTGTGTGTGTGTGTGTGTGTGTGTGTGTGTGTGTGTGTGTGTGTGTGTGTGTGTGTGTGAGAGAGTTCACACAAAAACGAAATTTTTGGCAATCTCCTGCTAATAGAAGAAAATAAATAAATAAATAAATGCCACACTCAATTTAGCTCATCAATACGTGCACGGCGCTTTCACAACGGTTGCAGCTGTAACAAAGCGCTTTACAGAGCACGTGACAAAAAAAAATGTGATAAAATTCGATCTCGCACACACACGCGCGCACGCACACGCGCACACGCGCACACACACACACACACACACACACACACACACACACACACACGCACGCGGACGCGATGGTCTCGACAAAATTACATCTCAGTCCCTTTTGCAAATTTGCACTACATCCTGATAACCACAAGGGGGCAGCATAATTTCACTTTCCACCGACAAGGGGAAATGCTTGTCATTGACCGCTGTCAATTGGACTCAAGCAGCTCCAAATCCACATTGTGTTGATTCCTTGGGAAAAAAAACGAGAGAGAGAGAGAGAGCGAGAGAGAGAATTACATCAGTCTCCTCATTTTGATCCATCGTTTGCAAATGTGTACAACATTTTGATAACCACAAGGGGGCAGCATAATTTAATTGAAAATGTCATTTTCCTCGTTTTGTACTTCATATTGACGGTCTACTGGGACGTTTAGCAATTAGGTTTCATTTTATTTCACTTTAGAGTTCAATACATTGGCATTAAACGTGTTTGTTTTCAAACTTTTAGAGTTGACCAACCACCGGACGACTGAATCAATGTCTGAAGGCATGTTTTAAGATAAAAGGTAAGATTGCAAATAGAACCCACGATGATAACATCTGCTGAAACCACAGAATAGAACAAAATAGTTTTTTTTTTAAATGCCTTATGAGGGTTGTGAATGAATGAATGAATGAATGAATGTGTCCGTGCTCGTTTGTTCTGACAACTGTGTTCTTTCTTTCCTCCAGGGCGATTAAAGCAATTGCAGGCAGAAGGCTTCTCAAGGGGCAGTAGACAGAGTGCTCCTTCAGATCTGTTTGCCTTATTTAGCTTGAGAATCATTGATATGAATGCACCAAGCCACACTACGGCCGTTTCTTCTATGCATTTGGTCAATTGTTATTCTGCTCTTTCCAGACAGACAGTCATTATATTCGGGAGGGGAGTGTGTGCGTGTGTGTGTGTGTGTGTGTGTGGGGGGGGGGGGGGGGGGGGGGGGGGGTTGTTTTCTGAAACCCTGATCAGAAATTCATATTAGCAATCGGCATGGCTGCTGAAGATCAGTCATTATCACTGTTTTCGTAATGCGCTGCGAAACAGGATTAGCGTCCCAGGATCGTTTCACAAAGAGACAGTGAGGGCAAACAGGAGTGCAAAATCATTCTTCACAAACCTAATCAGAATCATTTAGCGTTGCCTTCCGATGTGAGCAGATTATGGAATTCGACAATACAGTACGCTGCCAAAGCGCATGAGGCTTCTTTTGGAATACTGATCTGACTGTGCTTTGGCGCGGTCTTCAGGAGCATCACACAATTTCCCCACACGAGGGATTCTTACAAAAAGTGGGAATTCTGAGCGGCACAAAACCTTCACGTATCTTGCTGGAAATTGAAACACATGTCACAAAAAGCCTACTAGAACATCTGAAATCCATTTGGGGTTAACAGGAGACACATATTCACAGGTTACTCATTAACATGAGTTCAAATGTGATTGGATAATTCTGAGCGCAATCAAATCCACAGGGGGTGTGCACACTTTTGCAACATTTTTTTCCTTACTTCACTTGAGTTGGACAAGTTACGGGTGACATTAATGGTGGAAAAGTTTGGGAATGATTTATCTTGGTTTCAGTTTTTCATCTCACAAAATCTGGCATTTGAGCAGGGGTGTGTAGACTTTTTATATCCATGGTAGATATAGTAGATGGGAGGGGGAATGGTTTATTACCTTATTTTAAATAAAACAACCAAATTTGGGGAGCAATTTGGTAGAACTAGATAATTTCAAAGTATTTTGTCGTCCAAGGAACGGCGTGACGATATTTATCTGCTCAATGTGACAATAGCGTGGAAGCAGGAGCCCAGAATATTTAGGAGAGTTGAGGTCAAAGTTTACCATCGACTAATAATGAGTTGATTATCCCCCCCACCCCACCCCCCGTTAAGGTATTCCGGTCAAATGCCTATTCCTCATTACAAGCATTTACTCCCAAAGGGAAAAGGCAAGAGCTGCACATAAACAACGACAACAAAGACGAAAATGTTCCTCCAAAAAGTTAGATAGTTTGTGTTTTCACAAAATGCGAAAAATACTTGAAAATGTCAGTGGTGTGGCTTTGGGGAAATGAAAGTTTGTTGCCTTTAATTTGAAGTGGAAGGCTAATATTAGCCACGGAGCCTTTTCAAACAAGAACAACACGGTCGGTTTGGGAGGCCAATATTGGTACGGTGAAGCAATAAGGCTTGCTGGGGCAGGGAGGCATATTCCCCACGTAGCATTTACTGGTCACAATCAAGATAGTGAGCCCATTGACATTGCCTTCAGAAGTCATTCTCACTCCCACCACAGCAAAACAAATGACCACCAAATACATACATACAGTATCTCTCGATCTATCTAGCTAGATATAGATAGCTAGCTAGCTATATCTATATCGCTATTTAGCTAGCTATATGTATCTCTATATAGCTAGCTATATATAACTAGCTATATCTAGATATACTGTAGCTAGCTATATATATAGCTAGCTATATCTAGAAATAGCTAGCTAGCTAGCACACTCTCTCTCTCTCTCTCTCTCTCTCTCTCTCTCT